AGAGAGAGAGAGTATCGAAATACAACAGGCAGCCGGCAATTACAGCAACTTTAGGAGATGATCCGAGGATGGAATGTCACCAAGTCAGCAAACACGGCCGGGGGGGTGGGGGGTCTCGTGGCTTAGAGGTTAAGGTGTCGGCCTCTCGTTCAAAGGTTCCGGGTTGGAATCCGGGTACCGACGGCAAAATGTCCTTCTCTGAAGTTTTCTCCTTTCACCTCCTTTCCTGCTCTCCAGCAATGCTCTGTCACCTGCTTTCGTCTCCACTTTTTGCCCCCACCCCCTCACCTCCTTTGCCCCCTCCTCTGGGTTCCTGACTCTTTCTGCAGCCTTTCTACTACTACTCATTGGCTCTTCCTTACTGCTGTATTTCAGTCACACCCTAGATCTTATGGTAGGAAAGATCTACACCTAGCCTTCTCGGACAAGGGCGAAAAATCTGGGAGGTCTCCGAGCACATTAAAGGTCCCTTGGTGGTTTAAAATCTATAGGAGTAGGCTTTGACCGCCACGCAGGCAAAATTCAAAATCAAGACCAACTTATGCAGTTGTGAGCCCCGTAAAAGAAGAAAGGCTACAGAAAGAGTCATAAGCACAGAGGAGGGGGGCAAAGGAGGTGAGGGGGTGGGTGAAGGAAAGAGGGCGAAAGGAGAACATCTTCCGTTGCTATCCGGATTCGAAACCATTACCCATTGAATGGGAGGTGAACACCTTAACTTCTTGACCGCGAGAGCCCCCGGCACTCGAAGGTTCCGCATAACACACTTATCTTTGGAGGCATTAATTCCAATAAGACATTCTCGCTTTTAAGGACAAGCGGGCTAACCCGGAATTCGGGGGTTTCCAGAAATCTTGACCTACACCAAAAGTAGGTATTGCCCTCCTACCTATTGGCGAAGTTTGGTTTCATTGGTGTGTATATTGGTTTGGTATAGAGAAAACTCTCCTTCTCCTTTAAAGACACTGAACGAGGGGCAAAAACTTTACCTCCCATTTTTTAAAAACAGCATTTTTTCGGGATAGCCCCCTTGTGCTTAAAAGCGGCCAATTACCCATGTGAGTACTGGGCATCACCTATAGCAGAATATCACCCCCTCCCCCGTGCTGCCAATAGTACAATATCACCCCCCCCCCTAGT